TTTTCATAATACTTCCACTGAACTAGCCTTCCTTGTGCCAATCTGTTCTCCAGCAATGGTGACTATATTCAGAGGGGGATTCCTTAATTTTACACTGTTACAGAAAGTGGACTTTCAGAGAGATGCTTTAACCTCAAAGGACAACCCCTGCTTCATCTAACTCAAGAGGGTGCTGTTATCTGCAGCATGACAGCGCCCATGATTAGGGGCCCACCAAATTCATGATTTTTTGGAAACCATGAATTTGGTTGGTCCCCCATGAAAAACCCTGGTCCCTTCAAAAAAGCAGGGAAGTGGCAGCCAGTCAGCAAGGGGGAGGGGGGGAAAAGGCAGCTATAGACAGAAAAGGACAGGAAGCCCTGGTCTATTGGAGCATGCAGGGCAGGGAGGGGGGTTAAGATTCACTGAGGGGCTCTAGAAGTCTTGCTCCTCCCCAGATTAATAGATGGCGACCCGTCAATCTCTGGGGGGGGGGGGGGGGGGACTTCCAGGTTCACTTGGCTAGAGGCACGGGAGGCACCCCTGCCATGCTACATCACAAAAATGATGCCCAACACCATGCTGGGACCACGAAATATGGAGGCAGCCTCCATGAATTAGGTAGGTGCCTACCTATGGTACTCAAAGATCTACAGGCATCAGAAACAGCATTAGTTCTTTATGGAAATTTCAGTTCATTGTGCCTTATCCAGATGCAAAAGAAAAACCACAGGCCTTTGGAGACCACTCAACAAACATTTGGGCTTAATCTATGAAAGCTCATTTCCACAAAACTTTTGTCCTACTTTACACTACAGTGGCTCAGAAATCAAGACACAGCAGAGCATCGATTTTCTAAATCAAATGGGACCAAAGCTTGTTCTAAAATAAATAAATAAATAAAAAAATCAAAATAGTTCTAGTATAAGTCTTTGACCCCAGCAGGGGGGCTAGACTCAGTGATCTCACAAGGTCACTTCCAGCCCTAAGCTTCTGTGAACCTGGGTAAATTGTTCCAATATAAAACAGATATACTAAACTTGCTCTAGAGCACTGCTGAAGAAATGGAGGCCAATAGGTGACATGTGGCCTTATCAGTGGTAAAACTGCAGCCTGTTGGATGGCCAGAAATTTTGAGGTAGGGTAAGCAGCAGTGGGGTTAACCCCTGTGACTACCAGAGTTGCTGTGTTGGCAGGACCAGCACTTGGGGTTAAAACCACCACTAGTCACCCTGCTGCACAGTTTTCAGGTTGAGATCCCTGTTACAAATACTTTTCACAACAGGGCAAGTGGTGGGGGCATGGTCAGTACACAAGATTTAATGCCACAGCTGCATGCTCTGCTGCTGGGGGTAGACTGGCCACAAGAATCGCCAGTCTGGATCTGGCCTACCAACCCAAATGAGCTGGACAGCCCTGCTCTAGAATATGACCTTGAAGTAACAGCTTTGTTTTCCTTCAGTTTGTTGATTCAGGAAAACAAACAAACTGAAACAACTGTTAAAAAACTTCTCTTTTAGTTGCCATTGCTCTGGCACGTATTGCACACCAGGCAGGCTGGTGGCAGGTCTTGTGTTCAGATTACTGAGTACATGCTTCAGTGGTGTTCTGATAGCTGATGACTTCAGTTAAACTGCTGCTAAACTCTTGCACAGATGGACATATTTATGCTGGTATAAACTGAACAGTCCAAGCAGGATGGTGTTCAGGCCAGTCCTTAGAATCAGGCAGTACTGGCGAGTAGGAAGCTTTGCTATAGTACAGATTTGGGTTCTGTTCCCAACTTTGCCAGAAATTAGCCTGTGCAACCTCCCCAGTTCTTCAGTTACCTCTTCCTAAGACAGAAGTGACCAGGTCAGGTAAATGCAGGATTTCCTGCAGAATTATAAAACTCTCGAGCACAATCTCAGCCTTCGCACCAGTTGGTACAAGAGGTGCGTTGAAATCGAAGTCTCATGTTTCTCAACCCAGTACAGACATCCCATGCCAAAAGGTATCTTAGTGGAGGGGCTCCTGAGGCTGTAACTTTCCAAGCTCAACATGCTGACATAACTAAAATCTGGAGGCTGTTTTCTTCTTTTCAGGTAGGCAGAGATTGCCAATCTCTGATGAGATGGACACAATATTTGAGGGAGAGAAAAAAAGTAGTTTAAGGGAAGACATACTGATGTTCTTGTAGATGCTGAACTTGGCAGATGTTCCCTTGTATACAAGGAAAAAGTTTGCTGCAACACACTGCGAAGTTTATAAAAGTTTCAAATTGGACCATTAATTTCACAGGAACATTTGTAGGCTCAAAATTATTCTCTCCTTCTTAAGGAGCATTTTTAAGGAAGATATACAATTTTAAACTTCAGAGGTGATTTGAGGTTTTTTTCAAAGGCAAAACTCTGCTGTACATTAACTTAAATATGCATATATCTATATCCATATGGATCTAGATGCAATTAGCCATAGAAGTAACCAATTCAGGAAGTTAACTCAATAGGTAGGTTCCTTCAGCATTGTTCTCTCTGATCAGCAACTCACCTGCCTTCCAGTCAGTTTTAAGAGGGCTATGGCACTGGTTCACCATATATTAGAGAAGAAATGGAAAGGAAAGGAGTATTTGTAAAAATGTTGCTGACTGCAGTTTCCAGACCACTGCAAAATATCTAGCACTAGCTTTTCTATCCAAAAATAAGATATGTGGGTGTGTTTGGTTTACTGCAGGTCTTGAGCTTTAGATGAACTTTATTCCCCATGTAAGAAAAATCTCATCTTTTATGAAGTATGGCATTTCATAAAGCACCAAGTTCAGCTTTTTCAGTTGCCATCACTTAAAATAGAAGTTAAAATAACAGAGCATGGCACACAACGAACTTTCAGTGGATTAAATACATGTATGATTCGTCATTTAAGTTTCATCAGATATTCAAACTCCATGTAAATGGTACTTTAGAACCAACAATAAAAAACCCTTTGTTTTTATTTAAAAAGGTAAAACAAAAAGTATAAAACAAGTGTTCACAAACTAGCAATAGTCCAATATATAAAGCAGTATTCTTCTCCAGTTCTGTTTTTCAGTACACTACACAACTGCAATCCAGTTTCTGCTGCTACTAGTATCTTGCCCTTCTATTACTGGCTTGCAAGACCATTCTGCACCCACCAGAGAAAAATAAGCTGGTTTGTTAGTTCATTTTGGATTGGCAAACTCTTTGTGTTGAGAGGCAAGTAGTATTATTATCTAGGTAAAATAGGTCTAAAAGAAAATTCATGTGACTAAAGCCATGTACAGACATTCAGTTTCTAAACGGAGAGCCACTTCTCTCTCCCAGCAGAAATCAGGAGTATAAACATTGAGGTTTTTTCTCTCTCAGCAAAAATGGTTGCTCTAAGAGAAAAATAAACTGGGAACAACCATGGTTAAATAAACTCCTGGGAGTTTATCTTGTGAGAGTGAACTTCTGTACATGTACCTTTGAAGAGAAGCTCCAGCTGTAGGATCTTCCAGTATTCCAATGTGCTTTGTTCCCAGCCCCATGGGTCCAGGGAAACAGTGCGTCACTCAGGCTGAATTCTACTGCTCCAGCCAAGCAGCTGCACTCAGATGCAGCCTACACGACAATTTGGGTCTCTCAATCAAGGTTGCCCTATGCACTGTTGTTATTTGTCACCAGGTAGACTGGGGAGCCTAAGATGTGTGCACAAGGGTTCCTTGGCTGCTCAGCGACTCTGCATTGGAATGTCTGTTCAGGGTCTTTGAGTAAGTTTTTCTACCACAGAAACCCCTGATCACATGTATGCAGCTTAAGTTACATTCCTAATACAATTAACAAAATTAAATGAAAATGACTAAGGGCCCAATCCTAAATCAAACAAGCAAAGCCCAAGTAGAGAGGCTTTACCTGCTTGGCATTGTGCTGCAACAAAGAACAGCTAAAAGGACAAATTTCAAGCCCCATGAGGGTTACAGAACCAGGGTAATGGGTAGGCAGCTTGTGACCAGCTGCTGCTGGGTACTAGGAAGAGGAAAGGATACACCATCCTGTTCTCCTCCCACCCAGTGTTTGGGCCACATGTATCTACATTGTGCAGACTCACTGGCCTGTTTGTGGACAACACATCTACTTTTCCCTTCCTTGGCATGCTGCAGACTTGCTGTGGAAGTAGCTTCTGCAGTGCACAGCGGGATGGGGTCTGCTTGAGTTTTCTGCGGATCCATCCCCACCATCAGAGCATAGGAGAAATGTATAGTGTCCACTCTGTTTGGGCCATGGGCATCCATACAGGATACTTCAGGATTTGACCCTCTGGTAGCATTACAGAATTCAATGTTGCATAAACACACATTAAGGCATCTGTCTTACTTCCCTGCTCTGCAGTAGTGCTTACAAGCATCCATTGTACTGTACAAAAACTCATTTTTTCATGTATCTTTTATCATGTGTGCACTGTTCCATTTTACTGGACATCTTCTGAACAAAATTAATATTCAAGCGCAAATGTGTTGCAAAAACCTAATGAAAGAAAATCAGTTAATTAGTGGAAGTGTAACTGTTAACCTTGATAAAACAAGTAGATGAGGTTGAATTCAAGAATTATATGGACCTCCCTCAATTAATTTTATATATAAAAGGTTTTTAAAACCATGTACCAGTATTTGCTTGATTCTAAGATGAGGATTGTTTCCCCACTTAACATAAGGAAAAAAGCCTCTGGTCTTCTAAAATATAAAAGGAATATATATAAAATTTATCTGCATACATTTAATTTATTTATTTATATAAATATATGCAGACACACATAAATACATATATATCTCCATCTTACACCCTGCTGCCTCCTATCTGCTCCTCCAGTTCTTTTCTCACCAATAATTATCTTTCAACCCGAGGAAATTCACAACTGGCCCTAAAAATTGGCTTGCAGCTCATTTACTTAGTGAATTTTTCTCCATGAATCCACTTTTACTAAAACAAGGAAGGCTGAATTGAATTTCATTTGAATTTTTGTTTATTCTAGAATTGATTTCCCAAAGTGTTTTACTGAAGGGGCCTACTGGATTAGAATGAAGACACCATCTCTTATTTGGAAATATGGAGTGTTTTAGAAATAGACTTCTGGTATTTCTGGTGCATGAAAGACCAAGCTCTTTACTTTTCCCTGAATTCACTGATTGATTGTTTCAACACAGAAATAAATACTGTACTTACTTGAATCCAAGACTACTCTGAATTTAAGACCACTCCTCCCTAATTAGATTCCATATAAGGAAAACTTTACATTTGTTGTAATTTTCCAGGCAGAGATTATGATTATTGGAGGACTGTCTTAAATTTGTCCCCCCTCAACTGCTGTAGCAGGGAAAACAATGGTAGGGAGCCAGGTGGTAGGGGAGCAGTTCCACCATCACTTGTCCCCATTTTGCCTGCCCCTCCTGCACCTTCCTCTCTTGCCATTTGCCCCCAACACATGCTTACACCCCCCCCCATCACCTGTTCTCCTCCCAGTGCCTGTCTTCCCCACTTCCCACTGCTTATAGCTGCCTTGTCCTCAAATCCAAGACAGGTGGAAAGACGTGGCTAAAGTTAAATGGAGAGAAAAAAATCCTTGTCTTGGATTTGAGTAAATATGGTGAATTGCGTAAATATGGTGAATTGCTTATGGCCTTTTAGGTTTGCAAAATTTTCAGTTACTTACCGCTTCTCATTGAGATAGTTGGCCAGTAACAGGTTAAGATCAGCTTTCCATTGAAACTATAATATGCTTTTTTGCACCTAAAATATAAGATGTTCATTATCTCAATGATTTATGATTTATTTTTAAAAAAGATCTGTACCAAATAAATAATGAAAAACAATTCTATTGTTTTCAAACCAGAAACAAGTATTCATTGTGCTACTGCCATTCTTCTATTAGAGAACTATTTTTCTTCTTTTAAAACAAAAAGGCAAACCCATCCCAAACTAAAACATTCAGAACAGCTTGAGAATGGAAAATGAGAACAATTTTCTAGTTGGCTTAGCGCAGTAACCTGCTATAGATCAGATTGCAATGACCAAGTTAGTTTTATTCTATACATAAAATACTGGTTCCAGTCTTCCCACTGAAGTTCACCAGAAATGTCTGCAGCTCAGTTATCCTTGCCTAAATGATTTTTATAACAATAATCGCTGCAGAAACATGACACTCACGGGCTTATGCTGGAACATTTTTCTCAACTGGTTGGATAATCATGCCCAATGTCAACATCAAATTGGGAGAAGGTATCAAGTGGGACTCCCCAGCGGGGTCTTGTCTTGTGTCCAGTAATGTTCAGTATCTTTATTAATCACTTACAGGACTGGATTACATGGTACATTAAGAACTACTTTGTATTTACTAAATTCTTAATTTCTGGATGACTCCAAACTAAGTGGAGTAGCAGACACTATAGAAAACAGGATTAAAATTCGAAATGACTTTGGTAATTTGGTAAATTGTAAATCATATGAAATAAAATAAGATGAAATTCAGAAAGAACAAGTACAATACACTACACTTAGGAAGCTACAATCAAATGAACAACACATACACAATGGGGGAACAATTGGCTAGGCTGCACAAATTTAGAAAAGGAACAGAGATTTATAGTGCATCAGATCTGAACATATGATATTGTTGGGGGGTGGGAAATACTGATCACATACTACAATATATTGATAGATGTGTTGTACGCAAACCCTGGGAAAGAAATCTTCCATTTTATTCAGCACTGATGAAGCCTCACTTGGAGTGCTACATCCAAGATTTGGGCACTCTACTTCAAGAAAGATGTTGATAAATTTGAAAGAGCTCAAAAGCCAGCAACAAAAATGACAAGCCTTGAACAGTTGGAAGAAATAATGGGTTTAGATTGCAACAAAGGAAATGTAAGGTTAAATATTAGACAAAACGTTCCAACTATGCAGGTGATTAAGCAATGGAACAGGTGAGAGAGAGCGCTCCCATTCACAGATTCCAAATGCTTGTTTGGGATAGGTTAGACAGGGGTTTGGACTAGACCTCTTTGGATTCCTTCCAGCCCTATTTTTCTAGGGTTATACATTTTACCTGATTTAACATTTTCTTCTTCAGAGCCACTTTCCGCCCACTGACTTTCACTGGCCAGCAATCGATTCTGTGACTCGCTGAGTGGCTTAGCAGGAAAGGGCTGACTGGTTCCAGAGCTGAAAAGCAGAGTAAGCCAAATTACTGTCAACAGCTGGCACCTCTAATCGTAATAGTTGTACACTTCAAAAATTAATACAATTACTTAAAAGGGGCAAGCAGAGAGTAACCAATGCAACAGAAGGGCAAATAAAGCATTTTTACACCTTTGAACTTGACTGTTGCCCAAACTTGTTTAAATGAAAATAGTTTCTGCTGCTGAGTTATGATATTTACTATTCAAGAAGAAACTGCAAAAGTTGGCAGCTGGGACATTCCATTTAAAAAACTCCATCAGCACCTGTCTTGGGCTTTCACCTGTATGACTGCCATGAAGATTAACTAGTAAAAGTAACCAGCACATATGGAAAAAGAAAAGCAGCACATGACTATGGGACAACTTAGTCATGAGGGCTCCATCCAGCACGCTCCTAGTGCAGCATGCCACTATGTTTTTTGGACCAGGACACTTCTCTCATATTTAAGATTGCACACCTTCCTCAGTTTGGTTACCATATTTTCTCACATACAATACACCCCCAAAACAATACACACTTTGTTTTTTTAAGGCAGAATGAAGATAAAAAGATTCTCCCAGAGTTATGGCTGCACATAGTATGGACAGAGTCTATTCTTCAGCTGATTCACTCTTTCTTTCCTGCATAAGTAAAGCTGAAGCCTTAAGCTGCTACTTGCTAGAGCAGGGTCTCTGTGGTAGATTATTTTGAAGAGAGCTACAGAATCTGTGCTAGAATTACAGACTGTGTGAAAGACGGACCAGGAACAGCTAGCAGATAGCAAAACTTCCCTAAGAAAGCTTAGCTTGATTAGTGGAACATGAAGACCATTAAAAACGAGACACCATCATTAACATCCGTAGAGTGAAGAACAATGAACCTTTAAGTCAACTGACTCCCTTAGCTGCCTGAAGAGCAATGCCAAAACTGCTGCTCTGTGGAACAGGTGTCAAACCAGGATACGTCCAACCTTGAGCAGAACGTCAGCTTCCCTGCTTAATAAATGACCCTCAAAACTGGGGGACTGATTTTAGGGGGGAAAAGTGTGTTGCATTTGAGACTATACAGTATACTGAATACAAAAGTATCTGAGTTTTTCTTAAGCATGTGCTGTCTTAATCCTCCTCAGGCTCTCTTAGGAAACTGAACTGTAATTAACAATTTTCAGCTGAGAGACCTCCTCAATTTACAGCAAAAGATGTTTATATGCTCACATAACCTGACTTAATAAACAGTCTTCAATACCACTTCATAAGTTCTATAAAAACAGTGCCTATCTTTATCTGGTCTCAGTCAAGTTGCCCAAAAATACACAAAATGCTAGCTTTGCGTCTCTTCACTGGCACAGATTGTCATATGAGCAAGAGATGACCCATAACTGGAAACCAGCAAGTTTCATTGCTCGTGTAGGTGGTATGATGCTCCAGTGTCTTCTGCATGTCAGGAGAAGTGCTAGCAAATGCACCAATGGCTTTCAACACAATCTGCATTTCTATGCACCTCCTACTCACCTCTTTCTAAAATTATATCACATTAACATTTTCAAATCTCTCTTCACAGGCTTTGTATCATGCTTCCTAATCCCTTGTATTCTGTTTGAGAGGTAACCAATCTTACACAGTTCAAGGGTAAGTGCACCATCAATCTATTCTAATATTATAAAAGCCTTAATTGTCCATCTGTCTGTCCGTCCATAACGCTTTATTTGTGCTCTGAGTGGCTGACTGAAATAGCCAATTAGAGGGTGAATAAGTATTTGGACAGGTAGTGATGGCACAGTGGAGTGCCACCATGATGGCAGGGGCACAGGGAACAGTGGGGGGGAAAGCGAGGCCAGTTCCCTGGAGGCAGTGGCAATGGAGCAGGGGAGGCAAGGCCAGCAGTGCTGGCCTTGCACCCCCTGCTCCCTGTAGGTGGAGACAATGGAGCGGGGGGCGAAGCCACCAGAGCTGGCCTGCCCCCCGCCCTTGGAGTTTAGGTGGGGGAGGGTTTGGGGTGCTGCGGGGGGGGGAGGGGGGTCAAGGCCACTGGCCCTGGCCTCAGCCCATCTTGCCCCTCCCCACTTCTGTCGTTGCTGCCTGCAAGGTGGGAGGACCATGCCTGATGCAGCAGCAGTGGGGAGAGGGGAGGAGTGGGCCCAGGCCTGACGTGCGGGGCAGGAGGTGGAGCAAACCTGAGTTGGGGAGAAGCTGGCTTGCTGCGCTGGTGGGCGTGGGGAGCAGTGGGCCTGGCTCAGCCCAACGCAGCAGTGGTGGGGGGAGGGGAGGAGCAGGCCTCCTCACCTTCTCAGGCCTGGGCCCACTCCTCCCCCACCCCCTCTCCCCCATGTCGGCCCCAAGGCCGCTACTCCTATCCCCCTGCCGCCCGTTCCTGGGTTTCTCTGGGCTCACTCCTGTATCCCCCCCTTCCCCCCAGGCTTCTCTCCACCCTCCGGCCCACTCCTCCCCTTTCCCCCCTCACTGTGGTGGGGAGCGGGGGGAAGCAGGTCCAGGCCCCCAGCAGCCAGAGAGAAGGGGGAGCGGGCCCGGATGGGGGCGGGACACAGGACTCTCCCTGCCTGCTCCTGCCCCCGTCGTTCTTGATGGGCAACTGGCTAGTCCATTTATATTTTCCATATTATTCCTTGTCCCCTTTGTACAATATTCCTGTTTTTTTGATCTACTGCTCTCCAGGGAGGAACACCATAATTCCTCAGAATGGGATGGATTATCTAGCTAATTTAGGACCCAACTGGGAATACAAATGATTAAAATTTTCTCCCAGACTTGCTCTGAAGTTTATTCTCCAGATGAAACAAGATAGAAAGCAAAATACCACAAGACAAACAACTGAATCTTTATACCTTTTGGCAGGTTCATTTTGGCTTGAGACAGTAAGTTGCTCTGGATCCATTATCACCAGGCGAGTTGGAAAACTACAGCCATCACCCAAGCTACACAGCAAAAGAACATGAGCCAATTTAATAAAGTCCAAACACAGATTTAGTCACACATTAATAAAATTACCTTGGTTTTCACATGAAAGCGAAATGCCACCCCAGGCAGGAACTTCCACAGCTTCAGCAGCCTGATTCTGTGGGAAAGGGTCCTGGGTGCTTCAACTCCGACACAGGGCCCATGTCTGAAAGCAGGAAACCACCCTCCCAGCTCCATGTCAAGTTGTGGAGGAATCCCCTGCAGCGTTTCCCTTCCCATTGCACTTGAATACCCTGCAGAGGGAGACTTCTAGGAGTTCCCTTCTCTGTGCTTGCAGATGCGCAGATTTCCTCTGCTTGCAAACATGGGACCCAAATTGGGGCACACTACCCAGGGCCCTTCTCCCACAGGATTGGGCCCCTGTAGACATCAGCAAAACATATTAGCCATGCCATGCCATGCCATAGTGGCACAGCTGATCACACTCCAAGGAAGATGTCTGTTTCTAGCCTCAAAAAGGTTGGGGATTAATTACACGCAGGGCTGGCAGGGAGGCCTCTATGCCATGTGATCAACCGCTTAAATGCTGGAGGTAGCCTCTGTGGTTGGGGGTAGACCTGTAAATAATATCTTGCCCATTCTGTCCAAATACACTGCTGTCTATCATGACAGAGTCCCAGTATCACAGATTTTAGGCCACAGATTTTAGGGATATGTAGCACAGATAATTCTTTGAATATGGCCAAATAACTGGCTCCTCTTACCTAGGCTTGTTTCTGTGCATCTGTCATACAGGCAGACACTAAACAGATCCAGATGATCTGGCATTTTAAAATTAGTGGAGGCAATAGTGCAGGACAAGGTTCTAGTGGCCGCCTACTTTGTACTGGCACTGAATTTTGATTAGGGTTGCTTTAAAAGCAACCTTAACTAAACAGATAAAAAGAGACCGCAAGAGCATTGTTGAACTTTAACTCTTATTGGTTCTAGATCCTCTTCCTAACACTGGGTCAGCTGAAATCAGTTTTAAAACTAATGTGGAGGACTTCCAAATTTCCTTCATGTAATCAGAACCTTGTACATCACATTATCTCAACACACATTTGATCAAGCTATGGGTATGTGAAAGTTTAGCCCCAAGTGCAATGATAACTGGTTAGCTTACTGATTATCCTTTAGCTTGGTGCAGGCACAGTCTGGCAGGGAAGGGGGGAAGGGAAGCTGCACACCCCAGCAGGAATCAGAAGGCAGCAGGGCAAGCAGGAAGAAGGGAGGGAGGAGTGAGGAGGAAGGGAAGGGGAAGGGAGAGGGAGGGGGACTAGTACCCATAGCCTAAGAGGAAAAGAGTCAGCAGCCTAATAACCAGGGATCCTGGTTTTCCCTTATAAAAAAAAAAAAAAGAATCACAAATTCTCCAATAAAAATATTGCAAATTCTCTAATAAAAACCTGCAAATCCGTGATTAATATTAAAGTCCCCCCACAGCCATGCTGGTTCCCCTCACTCCCCCATCCACAGTCCCCTGGCCCTGCTTGTGCCTCTCACTCCCTCCCCACAGTCCCCAGTCTTGCTGGTGCCCCTCACCCCCCGATCCACAGCCCTTGCTCCCCCAGCCCTGCCAGAGGGGGACCCCAGCTGCCAGGGCTATGGACCTGAGTCCGCGGCCCCCTGCCCCCACTCTCCCCCTGCAGGCAGGGGGGAAGGGAGGCAGCTCCCCACCACTGTGGGCATTCCTGTGGGGCAGGGGGAACTGCATCCTGCAGATCTGTATGTGGGGCAGATGCAGGCTGTGGGCTTGGGCTTTCGCCCTGCTTCCCTCCCCTGAAGCCTCCACAGCCCAGCAGGCACGACCTAGTGCAGCCGGGAACAGCAGAGCTGCACAGAGAAGCTGCTTGCTGCGAGCTCCTCATTGCCCTGGCAACGCACCTCCTGCGAATGGGGCTGCAGTGAGAGCAGCAGCAGAGGGCTGCACCCCTCAAAACAGCAGCACATTGCCAGGGCAGTGTGGAGCTCGTAACAGCAAGGAGATCCTCACGTGGCTTTGCTGTTCCCTGCTGTACTGGGTCGTGCCCGTTGGGCTGTGGAGGCCCTGGGGGAGGGAAGCAGGGTGAGAGGCTGAACATGCATCCCGTGCCTGCCCTGTGCACAGATCTGGGGGTCACATCCTCCTTGGGAATGCACATGGCAATGGGGAGCCAGCCATCTTTCCCCCAGACGAGCCACCTGTAGCCCCATTCTGCTCCCTGCTGGGGCCCTGGAGCTGTGCATTGCAGCCCTGAACCCCAAGCCCCATGCACTGCCCAGCTGGGCAGCAGCTGCAGCCCTGCCCAGCTCCTTTCCAACCTTCCTATGGGGGCCTCAATCCCCACCCTCCACCTCGCACTTACCTGTGGAACTGTGGAAGCTGCTCTCCAGGCTGCCTCAGGCCATATGCATCTATATGCACATGGTGCCCCCTGCCTGACCACCTTCCTCCCGCTCTCTCCCAGCTCCCTGCAGGCTGGAACTCTGCCATTCTGCAGGGAGCTCAGTGCAAACCTGCATAATTTGCAGGTTTCTCTGGTAAAATGAGAAATCCACGTTTGCCTCCAGTAAAAGGTAAAATCTGTGGTCTACTCTGTTTTTCCATGGGAAATGGAAAACCTGGATCCCTGCTAATGATTCATCAAATTAAGCAATAAGCTACTCGTTCACAGGTGTTCCCTTCCTGGCAGGGCTTCAGGTAGGCTAGGTGGGCTGTGCTGTCTGGCTAGGCTTCCCTCCTCCCACCCCCTCACAGTTAAACGGCTCCAGTAGCCCAGAATGGCTCCCAGCAGAAGCTGTGTCTGAGCTGCTGTGTAATCAGTTAATCATTTGACTGCGACAATTAGAGAAGGCTAAACATACATTTTTATAATGACATTTACATCTCTATACCAAAGGCAAAATTGTGTCAAATGTGTCTTTTAAACACTTTCTAAAACATACACCATGTTTTCCTTTGATCATTTTTTTCTTTTTTGTAGCACAGATGTAGCTTGAGAGTTCCTAGGCCTTGCCTTTGTGCTGCTGGATTCCTATTCTGTGTCAGGCACCATTTGTGCTATCATTTCCAATGGGCAGCTCCTTTCTAAGTAATGTTCTCAAAAACAGGTTTCAAAATAATCTTGGTTGTGGCAAGATTCTTAGCTTTCCTTGTGGCCCAGGGTTCAATTCATGAGCCCAGTTTGTTCAGCGGTTTAATATAGCCTTCCTTCAACAAATTCTCACATTCCAAACTTTATGGATAAAGGGTTTTAGGGGAGGGAGTGGGAAGAAGAATCACTGAAATCAATTCATGATTTTAATTGGAATAAGATTTAATACCTTGTAAAAATAGGTAGCAACCAATACTTTGTTTCGTCTCCAAAAACCTCTCTCAGATTTTTACTGCATCCAAGGGAGAAGCCATTTTTGTCAGGGCCATTTCGAAATGTGGGTGCACGAAAAGCTTCTGTAAAGAGAAATAAATAAAAATCACCATTAAACTGCAAACATGCTGAGAAGGAGGGGAAACAAAGATAATAAAAAAATAATTTCTTTATTACTAATGCCTGTTGCGGGCAACAGAAAGACACATGGCACAAACAGGGAGCGCAGGTAAACTATCAGCAATGATACAGTGCATTATGGTAAGGCATGGATATCAACTTGGTTAATTTGCCTAAGGGATAATTTCCACTGGTTTATTCACCAGTGTACCAGTCTGGCTTGGCTTTGGCCATTTATGCCCCGATCTTAGACAGATATTGGCTAAGGTACTAAAAACATTGTTGTTTAACCTGGAGAACTGATACCTTGGTTGGGTATCATCAGCATTTGAAAGACAGCAGACCAAATGCTCCGTTACTAAATCTCCTAAAAGTCCTCTATACTTAATGAACAGGACAGTAGTACCCTGTTTCATACCATGCTTGAAGCTTCTTCAGGAAGAGAAACAAGCATGTCTTAATGGCCACTTCAGTCTCCCCTAAATAAAAAAGCAAAGGCACTAAAAGTCAGCAGCTGAATTAAGATTAATTCATGATCATGGACTCAAAAGCAGCTGATAAACTACAATCCAACTCCTAGTCATTACTAGAAGTAAGTCAACCAACGCACTGCCTATGCTAAAACCAAGTCTGTAACAAGACAAACAAGGATCAAGGCAATCAACAGCATCCAAATAACGAGAGTTGTCTCACCACAATCGTGTTTAGTGAAGGAAGATAGGAAATAGATAATCTGCCTCAAACAATGATGTCTGAGCAGGGAACACATTAAAGCTTCCTTCAAAGTATTATTTCAAAGGCAGTTTGCTCATGCTACCAGGTACAGACAAATCTTCAATGGTTGCTAGGTCTAAAAGGAAGTAATAACTAACCATACAGTTGGTTCAATCAAAGATATCACCCACAAGAACTCTTGCCCCTTGCATAGCTCCTGGACCATCACAGCAACATCACCTCAGGACTTAAAAGATGGTCTCATTTTCAAGTAATAAATTCACTTTGGGGCTGGTCTCACTGAAAGTCAGTGGGATTTGAACTCCTATGTGATTACAGAATTAAAAAAAAATATCCAATGTTTTTAAGTTAAATATTTATTAGAAAGTATTGTGCTGACCAGCAAGAATCTGTTTACAATAGGAAAAGAAAGAATTACAGGCAACCCCCATTTAATGTGGTTTCACTTAGTGCTATTGCGCTATAGCGCTCATTTAAAATTCATACCTGATTTCACTTAGCGCTGAGTCAGTTTCGTTTCAGCACTCAGCAAAGCAGCAGCAGCGGTGAGAAGCAGAGAGTGGCAGCGAGTGTGAGGGTGGGAATGAGTGGTGCAGGGCCAGGGCACTGGTGCTGCAGGGCCAGGGCTGGCAGGGGCCCAGGGCGGGGCAGCAGGAGCGGGGTGCCCAGGCTGATGCACAGTGCTGGAGCGGTTGGTGGGCAGGGGGGGTGAGGAGAAGTGGTGGCAGTGAGAAGCAGCGAGTGGTGGGGGGGCAGGCGTGAGTACGGGGGCCCCACCAGTGCCCGGGGCCAGAGCCAGTGCCAGTGGGGGCAAAGGGTGGAGCAGCAGGAGCACGGGGTGTGGGCTGGCATGTGGTGCTGGAGCGGCTGGCAGGCAGGCGGAGGAGTGTAGAGAAGGGCCGGTGATTAGAAGCTGCAGCGAGAAGCAGCAGTAACCAATTATCTCTATTTACATTAATTCCTATGGGGAAACGGGTTTCGCATAGCACGGTTCTACTTAATGCTCAGTTTTTCCAGAACCAATTAAGAGCATTAAGCAGGGGTTGCCTGTAGTGACATCTCTTACTCCTTTAAGAGTAAATGAAAATATTTGTCAGTGTTTTTAGTCTTAATGCAGCTTTTTCGCAAGGCGCTTTCTAGCAGAATTTTACCTCTTATTTTCAGCCCATAAGATTTTACAACATTCTTGCAGCGTGGATTGCGTCTTACTGCATGTACATTAAGCACCTTGTACAACATGGCCCTGACCTTCACGGGGCCCAATTACAGCTGCTGGATAGATGTTATGCAATGGCAGCACGTTGAATCAGGAATTTGGGGCCTATACTCAACACTACATAAAAATGCAATAGAAACTGGCCCTACTCAGGGATCAGAAAATGAACAACCTGCGTGATCAGCTATGGACCATAACTTTGGCTGTGCACAGTGGCCTCACTACATGCCATCATCTTGCAACAGACTCTGCAGTAAACTCTTTTTCAATTTTTTGGTTATTTCCACCCCAAAAGTTCCACATTTAATGAGATTTTTAAATTTTCCCTAAATGTTATGCTACATCCTGTATACCTCATGTTCAGAACAATATTTAGATTTCCAAACAAATGACAGCTACATATTCCCATTAACTGACCTATTGTTGATCTGTTTTTGCCAACTAGCCAGCAGTGGTAGCTGAAAAGTGATAGTATGCTGATGAAGAACATGGCAGCCACAAAGAAAAGGAAAAGTACATGGAATTTCGCCTGTGTGTCTGGCAGTTCATTCTGGGGAGAAAAAAAGAAAAAATAAAGATAAAGATTTAAAATTAACACTTTTTAGTAAATAATCCAGCATCATCCTTGAACTTTTTTTTCTGTACTTGTTATCTTGTGAAGCTTTTGCCCCCTTCACTCAACATTATGCAAATCTTTTTAAATAAGGTTTTTTTTCCCTATTACCTAAAGCTAGTATAAGGCAGTAATGACTAGAAGTAAGAAGCATTTGCTTTCTAGAGTTGACTACATTCCCAGTACAACCTATTCCTCTTCCGGTGCTGCTTTCTGCACAGCAATCGTGGTGAGAAATTATACTTAAAAACAAAAATTTGGGTCTGACGCTACAAGGAGCAACAGAGGGACTCAACAACGTGTACCTCAACCTACTTTATTTAAGAGCCATTTCAAAAAGCAGATTTTAAGTCGACAGTGTCCTTTCAACACATACCCAAAGCAGAGAGCATGAAAGGAGAGGGGAACTGGTTTAATTATATTGGCTTAACTGCCTCACACACTTAAGTCTTGGAAATTAGAGGCTCCTAAATCCAAGTGGTCTTCAAGCAGTCATATAGTAACGCAGAACACAGCACACCCACAACAAACAATTTAGGTCTGTGTCAATGGCAAAATTATTGTAACTGTGTTTTCACACAGACCAGCTTTTCTTGATAATACTTTTATATAAGTGGGATTTAAAAAAAAAATTAAGTTACATTTCCTCCCTCTGGCTTTAGGCTTTGCTGTATACCTTCAAGAGCTAAATGGTATTTTTTAAAGACAGCTCATTTACATAAGCTCAAAAACTCACTCGTTTTAGGCAGCTGACCTTTAACAGCACTAGATACAAGACAGTCTATTTTTACTGAGATGTTTAGTTGGCGTTACCATTTCTTTTTCTATTAGCCCATTCAACATATACTTATCCAACAACAAATCTCTTTTCTAGACACTAATTGCAACAACCACACACATACACACACTTCATATCACCTCTCTTATACAGAAAAAAGGAGATTAAAAGCTTCTCTCCTTTAGGAAATAACAGGAGCTGCCACAGAGAGAACTAGAAAAGGCACAGTAGGAACAATTCTTTAAATTAATCACATCAACATTGGATTTTACCTTTGGACAATTCTCTGCAGATTTCCTGCGGCAAAGCTTTGTACAAACAAAGACAATTTATTAAATACCAATATCACTTCAATGCAAATGTTGGAAAGCAGCACAGGCTTTGTTAGGAAAGAGATGATTTGTGTGCACATGTGCTCTAAAACGTGCAGAGCTCCAATGCCCATCAGATGTCTTAGCCTTCATTCACAGGGGTAATAGGACTGAAGTACATTGCCAACTTATTTTAAATCCTGAAGCTTGCTACTGATGTGTATAATCAGCAATATTTATATCAAGCATGGGCAGCGTTTAGCATGTTTCATCAGCTTTCAAAACACAGCTGCATCTAATGCTCACTCCACAAGCAGTTTTCATTTATTTATCTTTTAATTTTATAATTAAAGTATATTACAACTAAAATGTGGGCACAATACTCATGGGAAGAACAACTCAAGCGTGGCATACTCTAGCTGAACAACAGCTGCAGAATTTAACTATTATAAATCTACAGGCATTTCCAACACACTCATCACCAGAGGATGTAGGAGTCATTTAGGGGTTTTGGAAACACAAGGAGGGAAATGTTTTCCACTCAAACAGGATTTGCTTGTTTTTCAGGTGTAAGGGGATGTACAGCTTTTAAGGAACAGGCTTTTGTTAAGGCACCATAAAAGTGATGGCTTTCTCGTCTTTATTTTACTTTATTAAAGAAAAACAGCACAAGAAAAACTACTCTTCCCTCTTTCCTTGCACTAAGACCCTTTCTGGTGTAACATTTTGACAACACAGAGTTCACAATGATCCTGATGCCTCCTACATGATGAGGAAAAAAAACAACCACCAAAAACTGTAGGCGTCTCCTCCTCTAACAATAGTCTTAACTAAACTAGGATTTCAGGTGTGATGGTACGTTATCAAACGTGTACTAACATTTTAAGAGTCCAGTGCAGAGACAAGGCCTGCTGCCTTTAACATATGTGAAAACAGTCATGAGTGACTGGTGCCTCCTGAACCTGGTGGGGAAGCCACTGACCCTGTCAGGGGGGGCACCACTCCTACCGACAGCATCAGTGTTGGCCGTCAGGAGGGGCACATGCACCCTCATGTATCCCCTACCGGTCGCCTATACAGCTAATAAAAGCCTAGGCTTCCTCCAAGTTTCATCTCAACCAATTCAGCACATGTAGACAAGACAAGATAGACTTTTAAAACATGTTAGGGTGCATTAGCCAACCTCACACCTTTCGTCCTATTCTAGACAAAATTGGAGACGGCAAGCTCCAAACACAGTTCTTTCTGCCACCACCTTACCCTGGCCTCCCGACTTGCCAGTATCCTTATGCAGAAACAGTTTTATTTGTGTTCTCTTTCATTTTTTTTAATTTTCTTCCGCACACCTCACACCAAAGGGGATAAAAGCCATTTTTAAATTCCATGACACCAGAGTTAATTGAGGGTGACACTAGTGCAGGGGTGGGCAAAATATGGCCCGCGGGCCAGATCCGGCCTGTGAAGCCATTCTATCCAGCCCGCGGGGCCCCTAAAAAAATTGGAAAATTTATATTTCTCTGCCCTTGGTTCCTGTCATAAATGACAGGAACCAAGGGCAGTAGGACCCAGGGGAAGCCCAGCGGGCTCCAACAACAGCAGGGCTTGCCCTCCAGCCGAAAGCTCCTGCCGCGGTTTCTGGGTTGGGAGCAAATGGCTGCCCTAGCGTGGGAAGCTCAGGTAAGGGCGGGGGGGACCCCAGGCAGGGAAGGAGCATGGGGGGGAAGCAGCCCCTCCCCACTCACGCCCAGTGCCCTGCGCTGCAGCTGCTCGCAGCCTGCATGGGGCTGCCTGTGCTCACTCTGGACAGCCTGATGTGGGCTGCGAGCACCTGGAGCGTGGGGCACTGGGCATGGGAGGGGCCACTTCCCCCCACACTCAGCTCTTCCCTGGACTCCTTTGCTGCGTGGAGAAAAGCGCCCCTCACCCGCCCCATGGCTGGCACCCTGCACTGCAGGCAGTCGCAGCCTGCGGGGCTGTCTGGAGCAGGCACAGGCAGCCCCAGGCAGGCTGTGAGCGGCTGCAGTGTGGGGCGCCGGCCATGGGGCGGGCG